TTTGTGATCACGCTTGCTGTCCCTTACTACTCCCTCCCAGCTTGCAAGCACATATGTGAACTGCGTGTCAAAATCACATGTGGCCTTAACTTTCATTGTCAATCGTTATCGGCCATTAAATTCCGCGGCTTCGTTGGCAGGCACTTATACTGGAATATGTCCGTTAAATTGCCATGCGGCCCTTGGAAAAGAAATGGTAACACGTCGGGTTGGTCGCGATTGTCGGATGCACTGGGGCAGGGGGATTGGCAGTCGGATGTATCATAGTATTCGCAATGCAGCAACAAGATGATGACGTGATACCAATTCACCCGAATGCTGGTAACGTTCTTGGATGTTCGTGGTTCGTGCTGGATGTACGGTGCATGGCGATGTACAAGAACATGAAGAGCTGCTCCTTGACTGTGTATATACTGGGTATCATGTAGGCCACCTGTTGTAATGTGAGTCTGTAGAAGGATTCGGATTACGAAGCGGGGCATAAGTAAGGCCCTCACGCAGGTGTTGTGCCATGCATACTCTCTTCAACCCACATTGCACTGGATAAGCAAGAGTCTCGTCTCGTTTCTGCATCTTGAGAAAATAATCGGTGTATTGATACCTCATGTACTGCATCATTGCCATTGGCCGTCGTTTTCCGCTTCAGAGATGTAATAGCGGCAACCAGAGCCGTTGGTCTATGACGGATTGCATTTTGGTACCCAGACGACTTCAATCTTGATAAATTCCAAAAAACCATGGCGAGAATGACATTGCAAAGAAAGACATTGCAAAGAAATGATTTGGCATTTTTCAAATACGCCATTGCAAGAATTGATCGTACCCTGAGGCGCCCTGAACTTCAAAATATGCAGATTCGTATATTCTAAATTTTACTGTATGTTGTCATTCCGCTTACTGAAGCTCAAAAGCAGAGAAAGTACGTAATAGTAGTGTTGCTCTGTTCGAATTAATTTTCAGGGAACGGTTTCCAATTGGCGAAATTATTCTAAATGTCGCCCGAATTGAGTTACGATTGGTGAACTAGAAAGAGCAAGATCTCAGCTTTGATAGGGTCGTTTATGAGAGTTCTACAGCGCTTTCGTTCAGAGATACTTGGCGCAGAGTTCTGAGTCAATTCGTCAAAACTTTGACCCATCACGCAATACTCAAGACTCATTTTCATATCGCACGAAAACCACACACCCATTACGCTACTCCAAGCAATGCAACGTGTCACCAATACTGACGACCACCCACGGAACCCCCATGGCCGAAGTGGCGGTAATACTCACCTCGACCACGAGGCGGGTCACATTGGTACCGATGTCACATCGCAAATCCGAGGACTCCCTCTATATTTCTATTTATACCATTCCTCCGTATTGCATTGTTTTTTATGTGCTATTTTTCGTAATTCCGAGCCCAAAAGAAAGCGGTGGAATGAGAAATTGAAGATGCGATAAGTCACTGCACCAGGCGCTGCGGCTGTCGCTGAGAGCTCTGCCTCATGCTTACTTAGACTTGGGATTCTCTAACCCTATTCAACTTCGTAGTGTCAAAAGCGCACTCGAACAATCGAGGACCTCATTGTTGCTTTGGAAACCTCGTTTTATGAATTGCCTCTGGACACGGTCTCCAAAACTTTCATTACTCATCACAACATGAGGTAAAAATGCATGGAAATACACGGTGGCAAAGATAATAAGCTCCATCACATGAAGAAAGTTTCGATGATAACCAACTTAATGGCCTTCGACGTGAAGTGCAACGCTTATTGCTACGAGAGCGATTTGACTATTTGAACTTTCGACTTGGAGAAGAGGCATCGATGGAAGCACTTCTGAATTCCCAAGAGCATGGTCCAATGGCCATTTAGTGATGGCAGAACTTGACAGCAAGGATTTATTTGAAGTTTGTATACAGGGGCTGTCTGACAGACTCTTTTACACGTCCATACTGAAAGAAAGGTAGACCAGCTCAACCAATGAAATTTTGGGGCCATAAATGTCACCCACTGGCAGAAACAATGAGATTTTTCCGAGTGTTCAGAATACCATGCCCAAATATAAATTTCAAAAATAAGAACGAGTACACTGGGTGAATTTTTTGGTCGTAACCTGTAAGTTGCTTCTGGATCGAGGCACATAATCTAATCAACTCAAAACAAAGGCAGTAATTATTTCGGATCAGAGTTGTATCGTCCAGCATTTCTCTGCACAGTAAAAGAGAGGTGGGACTACCGAGTCTATTTAGTGGGAATAAAACGTGTGATACCGTAGTCGCGGTACAAGGTAGCGTCAACGTTCGCCAACGTCGTTGCTATCGTGCCAGCAGGCCGGTTGTGAGACGAACGAGCCTCTGGAAGGTACTTGACCGCCGGCCACATGTCAATCTTGCAATCGAACAAAACACCACGCTCAGCACCGTATCTAGCAACTGTAGCCAAGAATATGCAGCAACTGAAGCCAAGAATATGATCTTGGGTATAAAGCGCTTGCTCTTCCGGCTTCGTTGGCGGGGCTTCTCACCAGGAACTTGGTAAACCTTTCTTCTGTCTTTATCATCATTATACACTTCTCGTCTAGATGAACCACGCCCCAAGAGTCGTCAAATTCAAAATGGGGGTCCGCGAGAAAACCGGCTTCGCCGGTGGAAAGCGCGAGTCCAGGAGCGGAGCGACGGACGAGCGGGCGATAGAAATTGATGCGTTCCTGCTTGATTTTAGGCGTAAGGAGCGCCTTGATGCCGGTGGACTGGCCCTGCTGAGTTCCCTTTTGAAGACTGCGGTGGAGTGGTCCCAGAGAGATGTCAGTAGCGGTAGAGATGCCACGCATTGTGAATTGTTCCGAGTCGGGTGAGTTACTGACAAGTTCCGATATTCTATCTTGCGTGTAGATTGGCTTACGGCAGACGCGCCCCGATTTCGACGACATGTGAATTGTGCCGTGTTCGAAGACATCTACACTTTAGCCACGGTGGTGCGGTGCAATTGTATGAGGCTGGCAGTCGCTGAGATTGCTCCACGGGCCAACTTTTCAGCAGTGATGTGCTGTTGTAGTTGTACAATGACAGCGACCTTGTCGTCATGTGCGAGCTCCTGCTTTGTGCGCGTCATGAAATGTGCAACCCCGTAGTTTTGACCAATAAATTAATGATTTCGTATTATAATTCCGAGAGGGGATGGCGAAGTGATTTTTGTGGGGTAAATCTTCATTGCCCTTCGTCGCAGTCAATAGACACCTCCTCTAAATTTTCATTCTCTTTAAAGCATGATATCGCGCAACAAGTTTGGACAAGTAGTTGTTTTTTGGGGTCGTTCGAATTTTATATGTCGGAACAGAGGGAGTATGTATTTAGCACGAATTAGAATAGCAATCATATTTCTGCCATTGCCTCTGGGAATTTCTTAAGTGTAATTCGCTCGTATTGCATCAGCAGACACGCGCTCCCTAGCCAGTCTGCACATCGAACATCGCAAAACTCTTCTAGTCGGCGGAAGGTGAGTCCAAATCATTGTCATCATCACGGTCCAACAGCAGATGAACCAGGAATAGAAGGACGGCGGAAGGGACGAATCACGACGTCGTTGGCGGGCGCATCCTCGTTGGGGCGTTGGCCACCTTGTGCGTGGCCATGGATGTCAATATCATATCTGAGACCACCAACTGCGGCCGCATTGCTAGCAGACATACGCTCAAACCACATGGAGACGTGGAGCCGTTCGATTTCATGCATGTCCACATCCTTGAGAGTTATCTTACTATAGTCAAGACGGAAAATTGTCCTCAGTGGTACTGATAAGTATTCTTGCCATTTGTACGGGCAATAAACATTCCCTCGTATTGACAGCCTTTATGTTCAAGATTTGTTTGAATTGAAGTGCCATATCCACGATGTATGGTAAGAAAATAGATCATTTCGTGCATAGCTGCGTACAAGACGATCATTTTCAAAAGAGTGAGTGATGATACCAGACACTAGTATCCATCCGCGATTTCTCTTGCACGGCGTAAACATGACCAGGCGGATATGTCGGCACTTCCAAATATATCGATCGGCCCATCTGGCTTGCCCTTCAAGATGAAAAGCATTAACAGCTCTTCGCCATTGGAACGCATGAAGAGGACGACTGTAATCCTATTGGAGTGCTTATGGCTCTTGTCAACCTCAGACGATCCCCTAATCTTGGCAAGAGTCTTTGTCGGAGGCATGTGTAGTACACTGACTGTTTGATTATGTCACGCGTAGCAGTGTCCCAAAATTCAGCAGCCAATTTAGCCCCGACAAGAACCGCTTGAGGGATATTTGTTCAGCACGGTTATTGCATCGATAACGGTACAGGGCTGAGAATCGTGGACAAAGTGGAGCGAGCTGTGGCAGGATCAACCATCGGATTTCTTCTAGTCAAGCAGCCTTCAATCCTTTCCATGTGGTGGTACGTTATGAACGTGATGATGTGTCCATATTTCAGGTAGAACTATTCCTCACGGACCATATCCACAAACCATTTGAGTTCCGATGCATATGGTAGGTCATTGCAACTTTCGACGCCCAGCGTGTACGTACTTCTTTGCTTTGCATGGTTTGTTCATGATGGAGCACTTTCGATTGAACCAGTTGAGCCACGTTTATAGTCGATGTTTCGAAGCCTTTGTGCACCATCTGGATGACATGGGTACTTGGATCGAATCGCTCGATGCATTTCCTACGACTGGGGTAGGACATGGCTCGACGTTGACTTGATGGGCGAGGTTTAGGGGGACTTTTGAACCGTCTAAAATTTTTACAAGAAGCAAGTCAAATTAGAGTTTATTCGCGTAACTCTTTTTGTTCCTGGTACCAATGTGGTCCACAGAAAGAGTCTCATTTTCCCTCTGATTAGCCGAATTTTTCTAATTTTTCGAGTTGAGGCTTTCCAATTTGCCAGCACGAAGGTGCAAGAACTTAGCTTTGGGTATGCTTTGCGCTTACCAGATCGTTTTCATACAGAAGTTACGATGATGGGAAGCCAGGCTGTCACTTTTTGCAAAGCACACAAAATGGCCCCCCCAGGGTTCACGTCTTATGCCATTCTTACAGTATTGGTGAGAAGGAAGCCACCATCGATTGCACAAACCTGTCCAGCCATGTCATCAGGTTTATTAAATGCTGCTTCCCTGGGGCACCACCCACAGCGAAAGCAACAATAACGAGCGTGCTACCTTCTGCTTTCCCTCCTTTCAACGAGCATGAACAGGAATATGTCTGTTACTACTGAGCAATTCAAGTGCCACATACGATTAGAGTCACGTGTGCGGACGCATT